GCCCCAATATTAAATTTTTCTTAAAAAGCAGATTTCTCACTTGGCATTTGGAGGCCTGAGCTCAAGTCACAGCCAATGGCCAGATTTAAGGAGGATGATAAATCACCTTTCTCACTCCTTTAAGTTCTGATTAGAATTATAAACCGGACTCTGAAAGATGGAGGTAAAATTAACAGCTTTTAGTCAGTAAAGCCAGCGTAGAGAACATACTGTAGCTGGACCTGCAACCAAGATGGCCTTGCTGCCATCTGCCCCGAATCTAGACCTTGAGATCCGTCTGCGGTGTGGTGTTCTGCAAGGTAAATACTTAATCTGCTCAGCCTACTGAAGGAGACATTGCTGCCCATCACTCAAAAGCACCAAGAACAGGGACAGAGAGAATGAAGTCACAAATACACCTGTTGGGTTTTTTTTTTTAAGTTTATTTTTTAGTGATCTCTATACCCAACATGGGTCTCAAACTCACGACCCCAAGATTAATAGTCTCGTGCTCTTCTGATTGGGGCAGCCAGGTGTCCCACAAATGTACTTTTTTTTTTAAAGGTTTTATTTTTTTAAGTAATCTCTACACCCAATGTGAGGCTTAAACTTAAACAACCCCGAGATCAAGAGTTGCATGCTCCACTGACTGAGCCAGCCAGGTGGCCCTTCACTTGGTTTTTAACTCATGTATGGCACTCATTTTAAACATGGGAATCGGGGATGCCTGGGTGGCTCGGATGGTTAAGCATCTGCCTTCTGCTCAGGTCATGATCCCAGGGTCCTGGGATCAAGCCCCACATCGGGCTCTGTGCTCAGCAGGGAGCCTGCTTCTCCCTCTGCCTGCCTGTCTGCCTACTTGTGATCTCTCTCTGTCAAATAAATAAAATCTTTAAAAAAATAAATAAACATGGGAATCAATGTTGAACTCTTGACATTCACCAATCAGGAATAAAAATCCTCTTTATTAGCAGAAACAACCTCATGGAAATGTAAGAATAGGGTTTCCTCTGTCACAGAGTTTTCCGATTTGTTCTAAAAAAAAATTTCTTTTAGGGGTACCTAGCTGACTCAGTCTATAGAGCCCTACATTGGGTGTAGAGATTACATAAAAATAAATAAGCCACATTTATTTCCTACATAATCCATTCTATTATTTGCCCATTTAACTTGTATTCTCCCTTTCATGATGAAGCCTTTCTCCATGTGTCTGGTGATACCTAAGTGTCCAGGTTTTAGAGCAAAGTACTAAAAAGTTTATTGAAGTTCTGAGTGTATAGGTGGATTTCATCTGGTGGAACTTTTTCTGTAAAAGGCCAGAAAATAAGTATTTTAGTCTTTACAATCATATAGTCTATGTAGCAACTATTCAATTCTGTCACTGACGCACAAACAGTGTGGATAATGTGTGCATGAACGGGCAGGTTGTTTCAGTAAAACTCTATTTCAGGGCACCTGGGTGGCTCAGTCGGTTAAGTGTCAAACTCGAACTCAGCTCAGGTCTTGATCTCAGGGTCGTGAGTTCAGCCCCGCATTGGGATCCCCTCTGGGCGTGGAGCCTGCTTAAGAAACAAACACGTTTATTTCCAGGAGGAGAGAGTAGACCAGGTTTGCTGACCTCTGCTCTAAGGTGATCAGCTAGAAAGCTGGACTGCTGCCCAGGATAATTGTTTTTTAACCCTACAGAGAAATTTTCCCTTCAGCTAGGCAACTTCTGTCACAGATCTTGGCCGCCATTCCACACATCTAGAAAAAGGCTGGGCCATTCATTCCCAAATTACAAACCAACTTTACCTAACAAGGATTTTTTTCTAATAAGGATTTTTCCTCTCACTTATTACTCAGATTCAATATTTGCATGGAAACAAAAACATTAGTTTCCACCAGTGCCCCCTTAATGGCATAGGACCATATAGTCCAGATGCTGAAAACGAATGGTCAGGGTATATGCAATGCTTGAAAGTGGAGTTCTGGAGGGCTTACCCAGTATGACTTCGGAGCAATTATCAAAATACATTTTCCTTTTTCTCATATTTCCTCAGCAAGGTCCAAGGTTTGATTTCTTTTTTAAGATTTTATTTATTTATTAGAGAGAGAGAGAGCACAGAGGGAGAGGGAGAAGCAGACTTCCCCGCGGAGCAGGGAGCCCGATGTAGGGCTGGTTCCCAGGACTCTGGGATCATGACCTGAGCCAAAGGCAGATAGATGCCTAACCAACTGAGCCACCCAGGCACCCTGTCAGTGTTTTTTGTTTTTTTTAAAGATTTTATTTATTTATTTGACAGAGAGAGAGAGCACAAGTAGGCAGAGAGGCAGGCAGAGGGAGAGGGAGAAGCAGACTCTCCACTGAGCAGGGAGCCCGACGTGGGGCTCGATCCCAGGACCCCGGGATCATGACCCGAGCCAAAGGCAGCCGCTTAACCGACTGAGCCACCCAGGCGCCCCGTCAGTGTTTATTTTTTTTTTGGTGTAACCCAAGTCAGTGTTTTAAATCCAGGTCCACGTATATAGCTTCTTGGCAGCAGCTTTGAGCTTCCTTTGCTGGTGGATTCCAAGCTCAGCCAGAATACTTTGGTTTAGTGATGCATCATGCTAAATGCTGTATTACCTCTTCTAATAAAAATGTAAGCAAAGTAAGATTCAGTTTTGAGAAATTGGGGAACACTTTTGATAACTATAGGTATTTACCAAGCATGCTGTTTAAAATCTATATATGGAAACTGCTTCCCTTTAGTCCATGTATGGAGGGGATGAAGTCTAGACCCTTCCTTAGAAGGAGCTAAAACACTCATTTGGATGATTCCTCTGTGTTCAGATACACTAAGCAAAATCATCATATTGCAGTTTTTTGAAGACTGAGGACGTACTCAAGCTAGGGGTTGAGACTACCTAGGATTATCTGTCCTCTGCTGATACTGTCTGCCCTTGTTCCTTCCTCATTTTCAGGTTGACTATACCGATGTTCCCCAAGAGACGACTTCTACTTCCAGCTATGACAGAGTAACCGCCGACTAGTTTGCCTGTCTCAGCCATAGAGCTGTCAGACATTGGACAACGTGCAGCACAAAAGAGTGATCGTGGAGAAAAGGGAAACTCATGGGTAAGTCTCGTGAATGCCTCGCTGTCTACTTAAGGGTATTATTCTGATGACTCCAACATAATGAGCTAGAGTCCAAGCACGCCACTGTGGCCCTACGAAGCTGAAGCGGTAGAGAGCAGGGTTCAGGGTTGTCACAGTGGCTGGAATCTGCAGGGAGGGCAACAGAGAGAAGGAAGCTGCACAGAGAGGATCCCCAGAAGCCTTTGTGCGGACAGGGTTGAGCTGCTCGTATCAGTACGAGTACCTGAGGCGTACCAGAAGTACTCACTACAAGATCGAGAGCCGACAGACATACCAGAGGTGGAGCTCTGCTGGGGGATGAGGGAGGCCCGGCCCACCTTGTTAGCACCTCAGTGATACTCCAGGCCTCCAGTCTAGACACCATAAAGGCCCATCTTAGAAGTAAAGATCTTGCCCTAGAATAAGGGCTACAAAAAAATACCCTTCAATAATGAGGGTAAAATCTAGAATTCTGTCAATGAAACCTGAAAGAATTGCCAGAAGATCTGTACTATAAGAAATGCTAATGATCTTCAGGCTGAAGGGAAACTAGATAGAAATTTGATCTACAGGAAGAGATGAAAAGCACTGGAAATGATAATTGCCTTAAAAGACAACTGAATGTTTAAATCAGAACAGGAGCCGGCAGGTAAAAGGGATTATACTATTGTAAAACTCCTTTATTTCTGAAGTGGTGTGAACTGTCGAGTTGGTAAGTTAAGGGCGCACATTGTTAGTCCTAAAGCAGTTCTCAAACTCTTTTTATTCATAAAAATTATGGAGGGTCCTAAAGAGCTTTTGTGTATGTGGGTATATCTGTGAATATTTATCATGCTACAAATTAAAACTGAGAAAAGTGTTTAAATATTTTTAATTACGGTGACCCATTCGTTTATTTTTAGGGAGAGAGAATGTGCACAAGCGCTCACACACACGTGCATGCACACAGAGGGCAGAGGGAGAATCTTTTTAAAGATTTTATTTATTTGACAGAGACACAGTGAGAGAGGGAAGACAAGCAGGGGGAGGGGGAGAGGGAGAAGCAGGCTTCCTGCTGAGCATGGAGCCCGATGCGGGGCTCGATCCCAGGACCCCGGGATCATGACCTGAGGAAGGCAGATGCTTAATGACGGAGCCACCCAGGCACCCCTGCAGAGGGAGAATCTTAAGCAGACTCCATGCCCAGCTGTGGAGCCCAGCATGGGCCTCGATCTCACGACCCTAAGATCATGACCTGAGTCAAAATCAAGAGTCGGACACTTAACCAACTGAGCCACCCAGGCACCTCCCATTCAATGTTTGTAACACATATTTACAAAAGTAACTATTTTCCAAAACAAAACTTAGAAGAGTGGCACTGTTCTATTTACAAATCTCTTGAATGTCTGGCGGAATTCTCATACGTGCTTCTGCAATCAGCCTGTTGCAGGATGTTGTTCTGGCTGAAGGACGTAAAAACAATCTGGCCCCACACAGGTATGTAGTTGGAAAAGGAGGCATATGTATTCTTTGATACTACACCAAAAATTGACAAATGAGTGAAGGTTTTTAGTTTCTTCTCATTAAAATTATCATCTCCAAAATGATGACATTATTTGGGGGCAACACCAGAAACTACCCAGGTTTCTGCACCATGGTCTTTACAAAGTTAACATGAGCCTTCTGGAGTCAGGAGTCCTATTTCCCATTCAAAGTGTTCTTCCCTGGTTCTTTCTCCAAGGCTTCGCAGGCTGCAGGGCACAGGACAGGTGGAAGGTGGTTGGTTTCTTTTCACTCAGGGGCCAGGCCGGCCCAGGTGAATTTTAGGCTGTGTTCTAAAATGGAGTTCATTATCGAATCTCAGCGTGAGACTATGACTTTCTTCTCAATTTTTCCATCATCAGGTTTATCCATATAAGGTTGTTTCTCAAAACTCAGGGGGTAGTAAAGAAGGAGACGAAACAGAAGATTTTTATTTGAAAGTATCTTAAATATTATGTAAACTTGACAGGTACTCTTCATTTTTTCATCATTTAAAAAATTGTGTCTAAAGATAGATCAAATGCAAAAGCATGTCATAGATCTATAGTTAAACAACCCTTTACCCATGAAGGCAAAATTATTGAGAAGTGTTTATTTTCCCTCTTGAAATGGCTAATCTGGGTAATAATATGGCTGCAGGTGTATATTCACATTGCTTCCTTCACTGCTTTTCTCTTTCAAACACACCAGTCTTTCAGAACTACTGTCACTGAAGCGCCGGCCTTTGTCTGGCAACAGAATGATACTCGGGTCTTACAGGTCCAAGGCCCAGTGGACAGACAGACTCTTATCCTCCACGCTGGCCACCATGTCTTCAACGACATTCCAGTCAAGCTTGCTGAGGATGCTGCTGGTGCTCTCAGACATGCCGTCCGTGCCATGGAAAGGAAGCTCTAGCTCTTCTTCAGCTGCTGACAAGTCCTATCAAAGTAAGAAAGGCAGTAAGTTATGGTCTGAGCCTGAGAAAAAGTGGAACATGAACTAAGCTTTCCAAAGATTCTAGAGTTGCTCATCCACCAACTGGTGAAGCAAACCAGGGCGGTGGTTGCCCAGCACATCTGGAGGGACAATGGCCTGAACATCATCTGACACAACCAGATCTGAAGAATGGACACAATGGATTTTTATACTCATAATACAATTATCTTTGTTATTCTTCAGTTGAAAGGAAAATACAAATTCAAGGAAAATTCTACAAGATAAATGCTAGAGTACTAAGCCAAAAGTGTAGACGCTTTGAATTACTACTTCAATCTTGCAGGATCTCCACATCCCACAGAAAACAATAAGCAACAACAACCGGATGACACAGAGAAGTCACTAGGCAGACTGAAATCTGGAATAACACTTACTTGTAGAAGGGAACTATGACTCTCATGAAGAATTGTTCGGATGTGTGACGGTACCATCCAGGGACTCACCATGGTCTCCTCTCTCTCGTACTCTATACACACCTGCTTTGATCGAGGTGAAAGCTCAGCACTAATGTGATTTTTTGTACACTGCAGACGACATGGAGCACCAGAACCTTTCAAGGGAAAAGGACAAAGCTACGGGGGACTGATTCATTTATAAGCTTGTTTGTTTATTCTGACTTTTATCATCAAATCCAAGACAGTCACATTCTACATAATATTTAAAGTTTTTTTTTTTTTAAGATTTATTTTTAAGAAATCTCTGTACTCAACAGGGGGCTCGAACTCACAACCCGGAGATCAGGAGTCGCACACTCCACCAATTGAGCCAGCCAGGGGCCCCTTACCGAATAATCGAATCACAAGGTTTAGATATGGTTTTAACAATTTCTGCCCTGTCAGTGTGATAGAAGGAAACTGAATTCTGGCCATCTCTTCATTTTAAAAAGAACAGTAACCTGTAGGACAAGAGAGTCCAGGGCGGAGAGGCCGCAGACGTAACAGAACTGTGGAGAAGTTCCAGCTGCAAAGTTCGGTGAACAAACACTGTGGCGAAAAAGAAAACAGCCAGCTCGGGGCGCCTGGGTGGCTCAGTCGTTAAGCGTCTGCCTTCAGCTCAAGTCATGATCCCAGGCTCCTGGGATCGAGTCCCGCATCGGGCTCCTTGCTCAGTGGGGGGTCTGCTTCTCCCTCTCCCTCTACCTGCTGTTCCCCCTGCTTGTGCTCTCTGTCAAATAAATAAAATCTATAAAAAAGAAAGAAAAAGAAAAAGAAAACAGCCAGTAAAACAGAACAGCTTGAGACTGAAGGATGACAAAGAGAGAAACCACCAAGTGGTTAAGCAGTAAGATAACCACGAGGGCAGGCCTTCTCCAGAGCAGACGGAAACTCGTGGGGCCGGGGAGCTGAGGCGGCTGCCCCAGGTGTTCAGACTGTGAAAGGGCAGAACAGCTGTAACCACCAACTAATCCCAGCCCCACTTCCGCCACAGTTAATTTGGTAACCAGACTTCGATACTCATCAAATGAACATAATTACTGCAATCTAAAAAGAATGACAAAATCATCACCAAAATTAAGAAACTAAGGTGGACGGTCCTGCACTTTAGGATGAACCTTTGCCTGTGGGGAAGGCACACACCTTGGGAAGCTGTCTGGCTTTCTCTCACCTTGCTTCCTGCAGGGATGGCCTTGTAATTTTCTTCTCTTCAGATCGGAGTGCATTTCTCCAGGCTTTGTTCGGGATAGCCAATCTTAAAATACAGTATGAAAACAATGCTGTGAAACTGAGCACTTGCAAAGCTTTTCAAGTCTGGGCGTTCGTGCCCCAGTGCGGACAGTGGACGCGTTCTAAGGTAAAAGGTCAGTGATACATCAGGAAGAAACCCCACTGTAGAAACTAGGCCGGCAAGTGCAGCAGCTTCCCTCGAAGCAGGACAGTGGCCACCGCCCCCGTTTCTTTATGAAGCATACTGCCAAACAGTGTCTATGGAGTCCTGCCTGAGGAATCTGAAACTGAACAGCAAAACTGAATCCATTCCTTGTTCCACCCCCAGAAGAAAACCCTGTTCCTCCGCTTGCCGCTCCTGTGTCTGATCCTGGGCCATACTCTAGACCCACAGCCAAGCTAAAAACTTGGAGTCATATTTAATTTCATCCCATTACAGGCAGGGCTACCCCTGGACAATGAAAGAAGTACTTCTGTTTGCCTTTCTATGGGCAAGGCCTCACGCTGGATCATAATTCACTTCGCAAAACCCTGGATCTCTGGAGCTTTCATAAATATAATATCAGTGTACACAGAATTTCAGCTATTTTCAGGGGCAACACTGTATTTTGGGGTATTTTATCTGTTAAACGAACATTGCTAGATATTTGTTTAGAAAATAATAAAATAGCGGGCGCCTGGGTGGCTCAGTTGGTTAAGCGACTGCCTTCGGCTCAGGTCATGATCCTGGAGTCCCAGGATCGAGTCCCACATCGGGCTCCCTGCTCGGCGGGGGGTCTGCTTCTCCCTCTGACCCTCCCTCCTCTCATGTACTCGCTCTCTCTCATTCTCTCTCTCTCAAATAAATAAATAAAAT